GCGGGAGAGCGCGGGTGAGAGCGTCAAATCGAGGCGGTTGAAGGGCTGAGTTCAAGTTGTCCGAATACCGGATCTACGATTGTGCGATCCTGCGATTTCGGTATCTAAGGCTGACCTATAGAGTAGATACGTTTCGACCAAACATGCGATAGAGCAGTCAAATCGTATGATTGACACATGTGCGCCTATTCCTGCTGAAAAAAGTTCGTTATTGTAATTAAGCTATCATGGGACATAACCATTGATTGATCGTGCACTCCCATGCTTAAGACTGCAATAATATGGCGTGCCCAAACCTTTCAGCAGTCTTATTTTGCTATTTTAGTCATGCGGAGAACGGAGAGTTTCGTGAGGTTGCTGAGATTGCTGAAGCGCCAGCAATAACTGTGCATAATCTTCCATATGTTGCTCTTTTTTACTCGAAGTTCTTCCGTATCCGGGTTAGTTCTGTTCGAGAATCTACTTTCTTTCGCCTATCATACTGATGAGCTCCACATACATGCATTTGCTGCTTCGTCTGTGATCGCAGGTTGTGGATGGATTTTAGGAGGAAGATGATTGTGACTCCATCACATTTTTGAAATGGCGATGTGTGCTTGATAGTTCGATCGACGGTCACGTTGATGATTTCCTGGAATTCCCAACTAAGGAGCTGTTGAAGATTCATGCTCTAAAGCATTTTGAAACACACCACCAGGACTTCTACTCTTCCGAATATTTCCAGTATGAAAAGTAGGTTCTTGAAATTAACGATTATTTGCGTTTTTTTTTACTAATGTGATGTGTTGGTTACAGAGCTCTCCTTCAACAAGAGCTTCCTACTGCAACAGATGTGTACTCTTATTCCCCTTTGACTTGGAGCTTTGATAAAGAGCCGTTCGATACTACGTAATCTTCTATCAGTACTACAGTACACTGCGATGAGTATTTACACAGGAATATTCACTTTTCAGCAATCCGAACCACTTCAACGTCCCATTCCGAACCAAACTTTTGCCCAGATCTTGTAGCGATATACAGGTACATTCTTCTTTCCTTGTAGTTTCTAACATGAAAAACTGGGTATTTAAGATATGTGGCTTCTGTTTTTGGTGCGGCTATTCCCCGCAATTCGCCGTTCACATTGTTAGCCACGGATATATTGACATCGGGTAAGTTTCACTATGTTATGTTGTGCTCGCCTCAGACTACATTTTTTTGAATTGACCTCCAAGAAATGCTTGCGCAGTACTTCAAATTTGAGTGGGGCTCAATTCCACAAAAGCAACAACTTGAAACCGCATTTCTTATCAGTTTATACCCTGTAATCTTCAGTAGAGATTATTCATACAAATTTTTATATTTTGTACTATTTATTATTTTTATTATATTTCTTATTGTAATTTTGATACATGTGAAATTATTATTTGATATTATTTCCTAGAATCAGATAGTCTATCCTCATTTTGTTAGGTTAAGGTTCATTTTAAGTTCAAGCTGACACATCCGTTCTTTATTTTGGGAATCATTTTCGTCTCATCTTCACCTCCTTGTGCTCCACAATTTTTTTTTTGTCCAATTTAATTTTGATTCATATGATATACAAGTTTTTTGATCCATTATGTTTTTGTTGCTAAAGAGCAGTTTGATTAATATTGGTCCTGCCATTAACTTAATCTTCATCTTGATAGGGTTGCTCTTTCGGACGACCCAATAACAGCATTTCCCGGTTTCATTGCTCTCTACAGATCCTGAGACCATTGACAGCGAGGTGGGTTTTTTCTTTTGAATTTCTAAATTAGATTTTCAATTAATTTAATCACCGGTAAGAACTTGTGGGCTATCTATGTCCGGTTAGTCTTTATTTTCATCACCTCTTATTTCTGGCCTTTTATTTTATGTTGAACATGTTTTTCAATGGGTGTGGTTCGCTAGAACAGAAAGCGACTTTCTCACCCTAGGTCCACCGCTTATCATCAGTGATGCAAGGTTCCGCAGAGAAAAACGTTGCGCGCCCATGGAACGCGAAAAATTCGCTCTCTGTCTCAGTGAACCACGCCCTAATCCAATTGAAATGATTTATTGTTCTTGATTTTTGACTGATTGCAGCGTCTTCTCCCAAACAATATCTTGGGTCCAGTTGGTCGTGAGGCACTTCGTCGCTTGAAAGGGGGTGACGGTATGTTTTGATCTTTGTGTGATGTGGCATTACGCGTTATTGGAATGTTCTGTGCCTTAAAAAATAATCTTTAATTCAGCAAAGTTATTGAGTTGTTAGTTAGTTTGTTTTGGTCTGTGAATATTTTTATATAACTATTTACAGACTCAGCTAAGGCTGCATCGCCAGCTGCCCACAATGAAGAAAGATCTGGCAGTCCGGTAAGCGGTAGTGTTCTATTTGTTTTTTGATCCTTTGTCTTTGATCCTTTTCTCCTATTTGATTTCTATCCGACAGAAGTTTGTGAGAGCTTTCGCGAATAACTTACTATTGTCCTGTGTCTGATTTTAATTATATTTGTTTAAATTTTTATATTTATTTATTTATTTATTTATTTATTTATTTATTTATTTATTTATTTATTTATTTATTTATTTATTTATTTATTTATTTATTTATTTATTTATTTATTTATTTATTTATTTTCATGCACTCTAGGTGCGCCATCGGCAAACAAAAAAGCAGTGTTAACAACACAACATAAACAAGTAAAACCCTATATGTAAGTAGCTTTACACCATACAGCCGTGCACCAGCCAGAAGAGAACGTAAAGGGACCTGTAGGAATATGGATGAGGGAATAAGGATGAAAATATATGGAAAGAAACCGAAGCATGTAAGATGTGGGCTAGCCAAATCTTAACCTCGAAGAGTTACAACAACAATCGAGCGGGAATGCCATTCACCAAGTTCGTCAGAAGCTGCACTCGACTGACTGAATGGTAAAGGAGAGACATCATGCAGTCTGTAAGTTAGCAAACTCCACAACAAGCCATAAAACCTTGCGGCGCCAATAGGAGCGAACATACGAAGGGGAACGTGAATGTAGGGTAAATATAAAATATATTCAGCAATAAAATTCTTCAACAAGAGTAATTTAGCATGCTTCTTCGGCTAACTTGGAGACCGACGTTCATCCGGTGGAAATTTTCGTGCCGCGTTCCGAATGCTCATCAGCGGATATCACACGGACGGACGAACACTCCATGACTGGTAGATAACACTCGTCTTCCTGTTTGATCCTTTTCCTTCTCTTTGAAAATCTTCCTCATAGGCTGCACGGAAGGCTCAACAATAGACGAGGTCGATTTTACTAATACGCCCGAGAAAGAAGAGCCTCTTTTCAATAGCCTTGTGACGCCAAAGTGAATAAAACTTGCTTTTTGTCTTTTTTTTTGAGAAGTCAAGTACCCACTATTCCTTTTAGGGGTGAAGGTGTGCAAGCTGGCGATTCAGCTACCATTAGAATAGCCGAATCTACTTCTGAACCTTCATCTGTTGTAAATTCATCTCCGACTGCCCCGACAAATAATGGTATTTCTTACTTCGTTTGCTTCAAAAATACATCACTCACCTTGTATTCGAATATTGACAGTGTATGGTTTAGAATTTCTTATCCATAATTTAAGAACTTGACGTTCCGCCGCCCATACAAGGACCGGATAATATAGACGTTCAAGAGCACAAATTGATCATCCATCGAAAATTCCAGTGGGAGGGGTTAGTTGATAAAGTTTCGAATTATTTTTTATTTATGTCGCATGTTGATGTTATTCTAAAGATTAAGACAAATAACGATAGTAATACTCCTTTCTGTTGTAGGTTTAAATGAGCTTATAACAAACACTGTAAGCATGTTTTTTTTTCTTTTTGAACAGGATGTTCCAAACAAAATATCTTTTTCCAGACCTCCTCCGCCACCCTTGGATGCTGAGCAGACTCAACAACTTGTTTGCCTAGCCCGTAACGAATGTCCATTCTGCACAGTAAGTTATCTGCTTAATTAGTCTAGTTTGCTTTTTTACTGAAGCGAAATTTCTAGACTGCTCGAGGTCCTCGAGGTCTACGAATCCCGCAGTTTGCCAATGATGAAATAAAGGAAGAAAGCATGCTTGCGCACGTTGTCAAATTTCACTACAAAGATCCTGCAGCCAAATGGGTTTTGAATGCGAAACGGTAAAGTTCCTTTTCTGTTGTAGGGAATGTTTGTCATAATTCGTGTGATGAGCCCGGTATTCTGCCTGGTTCCAACATTCCAAAACGTCGTTTTCGACCTGGCCGTTCTTTACTTTTCTCAATCGAAGACTCTGCTTTTGTGGACCTGAATTCAAGATAATTTATGTTACACACACATGTTGACTATAACCTCCATATCTCTTTGGGAACGGGTCACACGGATAATAAAATTGACTGAGAGTGAGCCCATAAGTTACTTAATCGACTGTTCTTTTGATCTTCCTAACGACCCCACATTAAAATGGGACAATGATGGAGAAATTCGAAAGCACCAGTCGACCGCAGACAAATTCAATGTCGATTGCGAAATCTGGAAGTTATATGCAAGACCCTTACATTGTGTCATTATGATCGTAGCAGACGCTCCCACGTCTCCGATGTGCAAAGTACTTATGCCCTTCGACCAAGGAGCTGAAATGATTCATACCGTAGTACACATTAAACGACAATTGGAATTCAAAAAAAAGAATACAAACCTGCAAAACGTGCACATTATTTGACACTGGCCAGATTCTACAGAAGCATTTAGCGATTCTTGCACGTCAAATTTGAACACGGGTTCAGTCTCCATGACAGATTCGTGCTTTCTGTTAAACAGCAACATGATGTAGGAATAATAGGCAGTAAGCTTATCACTGTGAAACTACTAATGACACTAACTTCATCCAATTCTTGACCCATGTTACTGCGTCCTCATCTGGCAAGTGGCATATCATGACATGAAGAAGTCGTAGAACATTATCAGTAACACCACTCTTCAAACGTTGCAATCGTTTGCTGCATCCAAATCGTATAACTTCGGCCGCGTTCCACTGAAATATATTTTCAATACCAGGTCCATGAATGAACTAATTTACATTGGTCCTAAAAATTATTAAGCATGATTTGATTCAAAAAGAATACTCATCGCAAATGCTCATTCTTGGTTATAATAAAAGGCTGTGAGCGTGGAAAATTCACTTGATGTTCCACACGTCGCAGGAAGATAATATGATAGATATCGACGAGGTTAATTAAGGGAAATTCGTACCTATAGACATCGCCGAAATAGAGTGATGATGAGTGTGAGTCGAAGACAAGAAGAAATCTCTCGGCCGGTTTGAAGACCCAAATGCTGCCTTTAAAACGTTGACGACAACGCGCGTTTTGGGTTTTTGCGCCTCGTAGGACCAGAGCGATTTTCCGGGCGCCGCCGCCTCACATCAAACCATGAATTTGGGTTGTAAATACGGAGAGCTTGATTGCGACGAAAGTGTGTGTGTAGAGGATAAGGATTCGATCAGGTAAACTTATCGAAAGGATAGATGTTGTGACATTAAGTTGTATTTCGATATGAAATGGCAATGAAAGGCAATTTAGTGTTTTGCCTGTTCAGAGTTATTACGAAAGCAGTTGCTTCACTGGAAGTATATATCATGCAATACGTAGAGAACTGTACATTTTTCTGCTGCTCTTTTTTGTATTTATTTTCAAGAGAATACAAAGGAAATGGGGAATGAACCAAACTGAAAAACATGTAGAAGTTAGAAAAACTTTGCTAAAGTAAAGAATAGTAAACTTTTCGCGGTCAACCATACCGAATGTGGTCACGTTGTGATTAAATGTAAAACAAATGCAAAAAATCAGGAAAGAAGACGGGCATACGTGAAAAAATAAACGATTCAGGTGTGAAGCGCATGCGCTGCGCACGGTCCCACACGGTGTTCGAAGGGTGCAGCGCATGAAAAGCTTTGCAAAAAGCGCTTGCAAGCTGCCGTCAGCGTGTTAAATTATGAACTTGTTTACCCAGTATAAGCGCTAGTAAATGCTTAGAACAGCAATCATGAAGAGGATTCGGGAGGAGAAAGATGACATTATCATAGAACTCAAGACTAATGCTTTTCTGTGGGATGAGGTGCCAGGAAATGCTTGGAACAGCAGTTATGAGAAGATTCAAAAGGAAAAAACTGAATTATAGAACTTACGAGTAATGCTTTTCCGTTGGATGATACCGCTTCGCATGCTGTTCCAGCTCGTAAGGAGAATGAAACCCACGATCGATTAAGCACTGAAGCATAACCAGTGCAGTAGCCGGAATTAGCAAAAGACTTTTTTTACATCCAGAAAAGGGAATTCCTCCGCAAGTCTTTTCCGTTTCTCTGAAATATGAGTCCTATCCTTTCTTTGTGCAAAAAAAAGTTCCACGAAACTAACCCAAGTTTCAATGCAATGTCGTAAGCTTCTTTATCTGTAGCATGATGGGATATCATGTGAGCAATTTGAGTGACGGCATTTGGATACTTGAAGCTTGGACGCCACGCAGAGACACAAGTCGGCAGAGGGCACTTTATCCTAGAATAGTGAATATAATTGAATTCATGACTTATGGAAGTAGTTCACAATGAAATATCATGTGAGCTATGTGATAAATGGAGTAGGAACACAAGAATTTTCCGTAGAGTGTGCCAATAAATCATTTTAAAGCGATAATTCTTTACAATGAATTTCCAAGTGGGAAGCAAAGAAAAATTCAAAGAAAATGAACGAACGCTTCATGTTTTCCTCGGCGCTTAGGGAGCTTTCCAACCGTTGAAGGCGACTCAAGTACCGATCTTCCTTCACGGAGATCTTTGCGATATCGCCCACAAACATTGACGCAACAGGCCCAATGAACACGTAGATTAGCTATTCTGTCGAACGATGCCTTCTCACATGAGGAGCATAGCAACCCAGCCGTCCTGAAAACTCCTTATTTTCGTCCACGGAGGACATCATTCGCGAAGCGACAACACGAGTATTAATATGACTATATGTATATGAGTGGTGAATCCAGACCACTTATAGTTACAGATGCACTTTTTTGGATTTCTAACGAATTGATTATCCAGGTACACGTACATTTTCTTCCCCTCCTTTAATTTTAGAACACTTCTTTACTATATGTTAAACTTCAAAGCCCTCCCTAATTGTTTTTGGTGACTGCCTTCCTCTTCTCCTGCCAAAAACTTTTTGATGCCAGCGAGCGAGTATGTGGTTGTACGTCCACTGGTGACTCGAGTACCAATCACACCTCACAATGATCTTTTCACTACCGCCCACAAACATTAGAACGCGGCGGACAAACAAGAGGTCATTCATCGCTCATTATCAGTGCTTCTAAATTTTTTTCTAGTACCGAGTACTGCACCTATCCTTGTGTGAATGTAATCGGCCTACTCATATGTCTGTTTGCCTGTTTGTCACGGAATTGGGCACTGCCTGGGGAATCACCTACGGGCCGGGTCAAGGCACGCGCCGAAATGAGCAATGCTAAGGATGAAAATTGCTGATCGGATTCCAGAATAGACCGAAACGGGGAAGTCCGTAAAGTTAGTAAAAAGTAGCTTACAAGCTAATGACTACCTAGTAGATGTAGCGTTCTTTGAATGGAATGCGCTTATTAAGAATGTTCTCAACACGATTGAAAACCTATGAAGCAGGAAAAAATTGGTAAAAATTATGCATGCACAGAAGGGACGGAAATTACCACGAAACCTTAAGAATCGGTTCGAGACAGCCCATATACCGGGAAAAAGAAAAAAAAAGAAGCAAGCAAGGAAAACAGAACAAACGCTATCAATAGACGGAACGCACCCCGCGCGAGTGAGGCTACCCCGTCCACCAAAGGTCCCTCATGTAAAAAGACCTCTCGAGACGGGCGGAAATTGAAATGAGGAGATCTGACTGCTCTTCTCCTCTCTTTTCCTTTGTAATGCACGCATCAGCTTGCAGACACGCTGGTGTTGTGTATTTAGGCTCAGTGCCTCAGGCGCACATGAAAATGTAAACATGATTTCAACTGGGCCGGTTCACCAGCTGATGATCTTTCCTAGTAAGCTTTCGGGAGAGGGTACCCCAAGGGAAGAGCACGAAGTTATACGATTGATATGGTATGCTCATCGTAGTGGGCGGGGAACGCCTCTAATCGTAAGTGGGCAGCGACCGTTAAAAGAAAGGGACGTGAGCACATTCGGCGAAGACTACCTAACAATTCACGTACAGCGGGAGGTGCACCTTGAAGGGCAGAAAAAATCCAAAGCTATAAACTGCCAAAAGGCTGTAAAAGTAAAAAGAGGCCAACGACAGACGAGAGTAAGATTACAATGTTCAGCGTTCAATTCCAATCGCAAAGGGAGGTGAAATCAAAATTTCGCCCGCCCATTTTTCCCGTAATTGTGATGCACATGCTAACGTGGGTGGTCGACTGGCATTTCTATGCTAGAGAAGAGGAGGACGCACTCGACATCAACCTTTCTGGTAGCGCCGCGCATATGACCTTCTTTCAGAACTGTAATCAGTAGAAAGATAACACCTTCGGGACCAGCCGCTTTAGAAACCAGATTCTCTCAATCCTCCAGAAAGAAAAAGTAAGACGATGTCAGACGGGGGTCGCGACTTCTAGCCAATGGAAGCGGCCATGTTAGCGAATAGCGAAAACCCCGATTCATGCTATAAACCAAAACTGCAAGTCGCCATTAACGAGCTGCCTCATCGAGGACCTCTCTCCCAACACTGCTCCAACCCCTGAGAGTCATCTGGAAGCCTAACCCATCCAACGTTCCCTTCCTTACTCCTTATCCCCTAATCTTACCCTCTATTCCAATCTTAGAACTTGGGCGGCGTCGGCATAAGCGAAGGGTTGTGGTCACAGCAGGGTTGGAGTCATTTTATAAGAATTAGGGTGGTAAGAAAGTCCTGAGCCGTTTGACACTTTTTTGTTCTTTACTTTTTTATTCCGCGTACAATGGAATCTACTCAACAATATAATCACCATTGTTACTCACTACAGAGTCCCACCTAATGGGCAGGTCAGCGACCCTTCTCCCAGAACTGAGCAGACTGAGAGTCAAAGAAATCGTGTCGCAGCACCATTCATTGATGATCGCTCGAAAGTGCTCTTGTGGAATCGACATCATGATTAAAGTTAAAGAAGGCAACCCGGCTAATATATACCTACTGCGGAGAAGTATGATCGACAGCGATAGTCTATCACGTAGCAGATTCTAGGTATCGATCAATAAGCGAAAGTTCTGGAGCTTTCGAAAAATCGGCTCAGGACTTTCTTACCATCCCTAATAGCATTCGCCGAAATCGCGAAGTCTCACATCTGTCTAAAAGG